TCATCTATCTATCTATCTATCTATCTATCTATCTATCTATCTATCTACCATGTTTCCCCCAAAATAAGACCTTGTTTTATATTTTTTGCCATCAAAAAAGGCACCAGGTCTTATTTTCAGGGGATGTTATCCACTGACTAATCTCACTTGCACAAGTCAGCCCCAGCCTCCTTTACGCTGTCAGAGGCCTTCAGAAACTTCTTCTGCAGCTGGCAAGGCTTTCCTGAAGGCCTCTGCAGCAGATAACAAGCTCCGGATCGATCCAGAGCTTTGTTATCAGCTACAGAGGCCTTCAGGAAAGCCTTGCTAGCCTTGCTGGCTGCAGAAGAAATGGGCCGGGAAGGCAGGTGTCGGGGTGTGCGATGCCTGACAACTGTCCAAAGGTAAGTAGTAGGGCAGCTCCACCACCACCCCATCCCCACCCTAGCTTAACTTTTACCTGTCTACTCTGGAGTGGGCGGGATCTTAATTAGGGTTTATTTTGGGAGTAGGGCTTATATTGGACACACGTGTAAAAATCAAGCTAGGACTTACTTTCAGGGTAGGTCGTATTTTCAGGGAAACAGGGTATCTAGCTAGCTAGCTAGCTAGCTCTATAGTTTCCTGAACGCTACAAGTTCGCTTGCTATCTCTTTCCATCAACAGGTAGGATGGGAAAAGAAAATATACCGAAACAGTTTGTCTGGAACCGACAATCCACATTTAGAAAGACAATGTCATTTTTTTGCCAGACAATTAGTCTCTTCCAGGAGTTTTAATTATGGAAGTGCATTAAGCTGGCAGACGACGGTATCCCCAGTGCACAATCAAGGGTTGTTTTGCTCATTAAAAGTTGCCACTTAACAGAGGCTGAAAGCCCACGCATGTAATTACGTTTTGTTCTGACCTGGCAGGGAAAATAGCCCACCTGGAATGAATTTTGTTGATTGGCCAAACTTTGTTCATTGAAGAATGACATGCGACATCCTTGGTTTAAACGAAGCTAGTATAATTGTTTTTGAAACATCAGAGGTGAAGCAGGGACATCCAAATGAAAATACTTACTGGGATGCTAAAATCGTCAGTCTGTTTTATCCTTTCAGGCCTATTGGAAGAGCAGAGTTTTTATTGACTATTATTTAGGGAAGATGAGAATGTAGCAGGAAGAGAAGCAAACATATATACGCAGTCGATGTAATTATATATAAAATGTATATGCAGATACGGCAGCGGCTACTCAGACAGTCGCCTCTGAATATTAACAGATTAACAGAGTTGGAAGAGACCTTGTAGGTTATCTAGTCCAACCCCCCACCAAAGCAGGTGACTCTACACCAATGATGGCTAACCTTTTTGGCACCGAGTGCCCAAAGCATGCATCCGTATGCATCCCCAAAATGCAATACACACGTGTCCCCTGCAATGCACCCTTCCCCCAGCATATGCACCCCACCACCCTGCATGTGCCCCACTCCTCATGCATGCATGACAAAGACCCGAAGACCAGCTGGCTGTGCATGCATGCACAGCAGAGTTGAGCTGGGATGACAGCACCCATGCCATACAGGGGTGGGATTCTACCAGTTCGCACCTATTCGCTAGAACCGGTTGTTAACATTCTAAGCAGTTTGGAGAACCGGTTGTTAGAAGAAATTACTGGCTTAATCCTGTAAGGAAGGCAGGAAGGAAACATTCTGGTGTTGCTTACAGAAACTGCCTCTCCGTTAACCCTTATTACATTCTTGGCAGGACTAGTCTTCCTGTCTCAGGAACGTCTCTGGAGTTTTCTTCCCCTTCTTTGCTGGAACTTTGCTTATGTGGAGTGACCATTCAAAGTTACAATGACACTGAAAAAAGTGACTTATGACCATTTTTCACACTTACGACTGTTGCAGCATCCCCACAGTCATTAAAGGCCAGGCGAGGAGATCCATGCCTCGATGTGAGTGATGTTGAGTTGCCATGCCCAGCCAATAACATGACCACCAATCCATGCCCACCAATTAAGCCATACCCATAGAACTAGTTGTTAAAAAATTTGAATCCCACCCCTGGTGCCATAGGTTTGCCATCTCAGCCCTACACCATTTTTGACAGATGGCAGTCCAGTCTCTTCTTGAAAGCTTCCAGTGATGAAGGCAACTTCTGTTCCATTGGTTGATTGTTCTCCTTATTTCCAGGTTGAATATCTCCTTGTTCAGTTTCCATCCATTGTTCATTTTCTGGCCTTCTGGTGCCTTGGAAAATAGCTTGACCCCCACCTCCTCTCTCCTCTTGGCAGCCCCTCCAAGAGGAAGGGGTCAAGCTATTTTCCAAGGCACCTAAAGGCCAGGCTTCTAACATATATACACTGTCCATGTGATTATATATAAAACCTATATGCAGATACGTCAGGGGCTATCCAATTCAGCTCTCCAGGCGTTCACCTCTGAGTGTTGCTTTGTGCAGGAAACCAGAGAATGCATGTTGTGGGCAGTCTTGCACAATATGTTTGTGTATCAGCACCACAACTGCAACACGGGGAATCTTTCCATCTCCACTGATACAGGACAGAGACACTTCTTCCAGTATTACAGCTCATTCAGTTCTATTTCAACCAGACGGAGGGAGGCACATTAAAACCGTGTCACTTGGTAGAGGTATCTGTTGTGGTTTGCCGGCAGCCAGTGCAGACAGCAGCGGAATTGGACAGTGGGGAAGAACAGGGACCAGTCCGGAAGTCTGGGGAGGACTTGGACAAGGGTCCTGCGTTCGATGCCGAGATGGGGCCAGGACCATCTGAGAGTGGGGTGCTGACTCCGGAGCCTCCAGAGTCTGGCAGCAGCAAGGCAGAGGAACAAGGGGAGCCTGTTCCCAATGTGTGTGGGCACAGAGTTGCTAGAAGGCAAGAGCAGCTGAGACAAAAGGGGCGACTTGGGAGTAAGGCTGGGAGGTGATTGCCCCTCCTATAAGGTATAAAGGAAGTGCAAAGGTGAAGAAACCTTTGCAGGAAGCAAAGTCGCTTGCTCTGTTCAGATTAAACCTTGAAGCTCTGTGTGGACTTTGTACTTTGGTTGGTTTTCTATAGTTCATTTGGCACTTTAGTTGATTGCAGCAATTCAAAGGAGAGAAAGGTGGGTGCTTATCTAGAGGGACTGATTGATTGAGGACTGCCTGTAACTGAAAAAAGGGGAACAGAAGGGTGGAGGCTGGATGAAAGCCAACAAAAGGAAGACTTCTAAAGAAGACCAGGTGTGGTGTAGTAGTGTGTGAATATAGAGCACTGCACATCAGAACAACTAGACACAAGGACAGTTTTTCCCCGAACGCCATCAGTCTACAAAACAAATAATTCCTTCAACACTGTCCAACTGTTTACTAAGTCTGCATTACTATTACTATTAATCTTCTCACCACTCCTTATCACCCATCCCCTCCCACTTGTGATTGTAGGACTGTAACTTTGTCGCTTGTATCCTTACGATTTATATTGACTGTTTCCTAATATGATTTGATTGCTTATTGTACCTTACGACTATCATTAAGTGTTCTACCTTATGATTCTTGACTCTTGACAAATGAATCTTTTCTTTTATGTACACTGAAAGCATTTGCACCAAGACAACTTCCTTGTGTGTCCAATCACACTTGGCCAATAAAGATTTCTACTCTGTTCTATTCTATTAATCATTGTGATGCTCCTGTGTGAAATGTTGTGTCTCTACCAAGGACTAACTTGGTCCCCCTTTTTCCCCCCGCAACCTGACAGGTGGGAGATCAAATTATTGAAATCAATGGGGAAACCACGAGGGACATGACCCATGCCAGAGCAATAGAACTCATCAAATCTGGTGGCCGAAGAGTACGGTTATTACTAAAACGTGGAACCGGACAGGTCCCAGAATATGGTGGGTTTCCACTTTTTTTTTTATTACTATCATTGTTGTCGTTGTCGTTGTTGTTGTCATTGTGGTGATGGTGGTTGTTGATTTAGTGGCCCTTACCTTTCAAACTACCTGTATTGTGTTTGGTGTAACATGGAAGTAACGCTTGGGGGGGAAAAGGCAGGGGGAGATGTTTGCTTGTGTAGTGGAGTTTCCCCTTTGCCTCCATCCTGAAGGAACATTCCAGAAAGGCTTCAGTCTTTCTAGAACATTATTTCATCCTGTGTGGATCCATTTGTAACCCTGCTGACGTTTGGACCCAACTCCTTTCCACCCTACACCCTATAATAAACATCACTTACAGGTACAATCAAACTTTCTATCGCTAACTGAGACCATTGTTCAGTGAGTTTGGGCTCGTTTTATGCCCGTTCTGGCCACAGTGGTTAAGTGAATCACTGCAATGGTTAATAACATGGTTGTTAAATAAATCTGGCTTCCCAAGAAGGTCGCAAAAGGGGATCACATAACCCCAGAACACTGCAACCATTATAAATATGAGCCAGTTGATAAGTATCCGAATTGTTATCACGTGTGACCATGGGTATACCACAATGGTTGTAAAATGTGAAAAACAGTCCTAAGTTACTTTTTTCAACACTGAGTAACTTCACTGAGCCAATGTTGTAAATTGGGAATTACCTGTAGTATTATACCAAACTGGTGCAGTATTATTCTTGCTGAGGTACATGCTTACTGGCATCATTATATGCTTCTTATTTTGGCAAAATAAATACAATTACAAGGGCTCTCCATTTGACACTCCTGCCTACTAAATTCGCCATTAAATACAACATTGCAGAGGATTAACAGATTAATTAATCTGTCAGAAATGGCATGCGGTCTCCTTCTTGGGTGGGCGAGGAGGGGTTGGATTAGATGACCTACAAGGTCCCTGTGATGACCCGGAGTGTAACACAAATGTAACAAAATCCAAAACGTAAATAAATGTCCTTTAATGCCTCCAACTTGGCCCCACTGTTCAATAATTCTCAGTTGGAGATAAAACATAGTCAAAAATAGTCTTGAAAAGAAAGCAATACAGTCCGAACTTAGTGAGCAGATAGAAGTGAAATAAAAAACTAAAACAAGCTACAATGAAGGAATTTCCACAATGGACCAGGGTAAGTAATTACCAACGTCAAGGAGATAACAAGGCGCAGTCTGTTGGAAGGTCGCCAACCAAAATAACTTTAGCGCAAAATAACACACACTTTGCTTCTGGCAACACTGTGTTGTAACCGTCTCTCTTATATACTATTCTCCCCAGCTGCAACCAATGAGGGGGATCATGGCCACTTCCTCTCTCGTAAACCAAGTTGTTTCCTTCTCCGTTCCTTCCTGCGTGTCCTAGGATGCAGAGGGGATGGGCCTGGTTCTTTCTCTGACTGCCCAGCTGGCCTCTGCCCTTCCCTATCCTCCTCCACAACCTCCGGAGCCACACCTCCTTTCCCTCAGAGTTCAACTCTAACAAGAGCATGACAGTCCCTTCCAACTCTCTTAATCTGAAGCTAATCTGAAACAGACTAACAGAGTTGGAAGAGACCTTGTAGGTCATCTAGTCCAACCACCTCCCTCCCCCTGCCCAAGCAGGATACCCTACGCCATTTCTGACAGATGGCAATCCAGTCTCTTCTTGAAAGCTTCCAATGTTGAAGTTCTGGAGAAGATACCTTAACTACTAAGAGGCATCCTATTATTCTTAGGATGGCTTTTGATAAATATAAATCTCTCCCACTCTCACTTTTCCACTAACAACTTTGCCTATAAATTTATTGTGGAGAAAACCCTGCTGGTTAATTGGTTGGTGGCATAACTCCTTTCTGCAATCAAATATTTTGCAAATGTTTTCATCCGCAGAGGTTTCCACAATGTCTATTTTATTTCTCTTTCGGTGCTTGTTTTTGGAACTTACAAGTCTTTTCCCCCGTATTTTTATTGGTTTTTATTTCACGAGAGAGGGGCTTTATTTTTTCATATTTGATTTTAATCGCTCTGGCTTTAATGTGCTTTTAATGGGAAGGGGAGCAGGAATCCCCCTGTATTATAAAATAACACAAAACAAAATGGGATCGGCCACAGACTATATGCTATTTATCCCAATAGAAGCATCTGGAATTTTTTTAGTGTTGATCTTCAATTCATGAATGCAGAAAGAAAAATATTCATTTGGAACCTGTAGTTTCTTCTGTGGTGTGATGCATGAAATAACGCCAATTTTCTCTTGTATATGCACCTTCTACATGTAAAATTGTGCATGCTGAAATGTTAATCGTTGCTCTTCCTTTGTCCTATTTCCGTGATGGTGTACCTATGGTACGCGTGCCACAGGTGACACGCAAAGCCATTTGTGTGGGCACGCGAGCCCTAGTCAAACTTACCTGCACTGTGCATGTGTGCGCCTCCTAACTGATTTTTGGCCTGTTTGAGGCTGTTTTTGCCCTCCCGTAGGCTTGAGGGAAGCTCTGCAGCCTCGGGAGACCGAAAAACAGCCTTCCAGAAATACCAGAAGTGCCGAAATGGGCCCATTTTCAGCCTCCTGAGGCTCCTGAGGCTTCCCTCGAGCCTCCGGGAGGGCAAAAACGGCCTCAAACGGGCCGAAAATCAGCTGGGAGGCGCGCGCATGCACAGTATAGGTAAGGGGACGGGGGTGTTGCATGTGCATGCGCAGGGGAGGCGGGGTACATTGCATTGTGGGTGCCGGCACACACGCACATGCGCTTTCAGCACACCACAACAAAAAGGTTTGCCATTATTATCCTATTTCATGTGCTAAGGCAGTGGTGGCTAACCTTTTTGGGCTCCTGTGCCAAAAATTGTGTGCGTGCTTGCACACTTGCACTCATGTGCCAGCACCCAGAAGACAATGTGCGCCCCCACACACACATCCTACACATGTGCCCGCAATCCCACCCACCTACTCCCCACTGCCCCCTTACCTGCAATGCGCCTCACAGCTGATTTTCGGCCCGTTTGAGGCCTTTTTGACTTCCCAAAGGCTTGAGAAAGGCTTCTGCAGGCTTTGTAGGCCGAAAACTAGCCCCGTTTCGTCACTTCTTGTTTTTCTGAAAATACTGGAAAGGGGCTTGTTTTCGACCTACAAAGCTTGCAGAAGCCTTCCTCAAGCCTTTGGAAGGCCGAAAAAGGCCTCAAACTGGCCAAAAATCAGCTGTGAGGCACACACATGCGCAGTGAAGTAAGTTTGCCTGCAGCTCGCATGCTGGCACAAATGGCTCTGCGGGCCACCTGTGGTACGCATGTCATAGGTTTGCCATCACGGTGCTAAGGAATATCTGCAGATTTTGTTTTTCCCAGTGGGAAAATGTAACAAAGCTTGTTGCTTTGGGGGTAACATTTCAAAATTTTAACATAGCTTTATTGCAATCTTTAACCCACAGAAAGAAAAAAAAAGAGGAGGAAAGGGATTTTTGAATACAGACGGTCCTTGACTTACATCTGAGCTTTTGTTGCTGAGTGAAACGTTTATGAAGTGACTTTTGCCCCGTTTTGTGACTTTTCTTGTGAAAAGTGAATCAAGGCAGTTGTTAAGTTAGCGATGCAGTTGTTAAGTGAATCTGGCCTCCCCATTGATTTTGCTTGCTGGAAGAGGATCGCCTGATCCCGGGACACTGTAACCATCATAAAGATGAGCAATAGCACTTAGACTTATATACCGCTTCACAGTGCTTTACAGCAAGGGTCACCAACCTTTTGGGCCTCAGGGACCACCAAACTCATAATTTTAAATCCTGCGGACCTGAGACCTTGGGAAAATCCCCCAAAAAGTCTGCAGGAAAATTCCCCACCCCGTTTTCCTACTGATCTATCATTCTTTATTTGGGATTGCAGGATACCGTCTCCAGTTCTGTTCTCAGGGGGGGAGAGAGAGAGAGAGAGAGAGAGAGACTTTTGGCTTCATGCAAGGAAAGCAGCAGAAGCAGCAGAAATCTTTCTTTCTCTCCCCCAAACTTCACCAGAAATGAATCTTTGTGAGACTTGTCATGCTGGCCTCTTGGAGCAGGATGTGTTTCAGGGTCCCAAAGACTCATTTCTGGCAGAGTTTGGGGAGAGAAAGAATGACTTTTGCTGCTTTCCTTGCATGCAGCCAAAAGTAGAAGAAGAAAGAAGCTGAAAGAAGCAGCCTGGTGGCCAGGAGAGGCACAAGGGGCGAGTGGGGCAAGTTCCCCCCTCTGCCCTTTCCCCCTCCTCTCACTACCTCGTGTTGTTCGCAATACAAGCAACGCAATCCTTGTGTTCCCACTGGCCATCTGGGCAGCGCAGCCTTGTATTCTCACGCAGCCTGGATTAATTGCTTTGGGGGGTGACATTTCTCTGTGGACCACCAAAATTTTCTCGCAGACCACCAGTAGTCCCTGGCCCATTGGTTGGTGACCACTGCTTTACAGCCCTCTCTAAGCAGTTTACAGAGTCAACATGTTTCCCCCCAAACATCTGGGTCTTCATTTTACCCACCTCGGAAGGACAGAAGGCTGAGTCAACCTTGAGCCAGTCAGGATCGAACTTCTGGCAGTGGAGGGAGGAAGGAGGGAGAGAGTAAGGAAGGAGTAGCAATAGCACTTAGACTTATATACCAGTGCTTTACAGCCCTCTAAGTTGTTGACAGAATCAGCATATGGACCCAAACAATCTGGGTCCTCATTTTACCCACCTTGGGAGGATGGAAGGCTGAGTCAACCTTGAGCTGGTCAGGATCGAACTCCTGGCAGTCAGTAAAGTCAGACTGCAATACTGCATTCTAACCACTGCATCACCAGGAAGGAGAATGAGAAAGGGAATAAGGGAGGGAGGGAGGGAGGGAGGGAGGAGTAGCAATAGCACTTAGATTTATATACCATTTCACAGTGCTTCACAGCCCTCTCTAAGTGCTGGCACTGGGTACAGTTAACCTGCAAAACTGCATTCTAACCACTGGGAAGGAAGGAAGGAAGGAAGGAAGGAAGGAA